TACACACAATGTAGACAGTAAGGTACCTCAGAGCTCCACTGAATACATAGAGTACACACAATGTAGACAGTAAGGTACCTCAGAGCTCCACTGAATATATAGCAGACACACAATGTAGACAGTGAGGAAACAGAGAGATCCACTGAATGCATAGAATACACACAATGTAGACAGTGAGGTACCTGAGAGCTCCACTGAATATATAGCATATACACAATGTAGACAGTGAGGAACCCGAGAGATCCACTGAATACATAGAATACACACAATGTAGACAGTAAGGTACCTCAGAGCTCCACTGAATACATAGCATATACACAATGTAGACAGTGAGGAACCAGATAGATCCACTGAATGCATAGAATACACACAATGTAGACAGTGAGGTGCCTGAGAGCTACTGAATACATAGAGTACACACAATGTAGACAGTGAGGAACCCGAGAGATCCACTGAATACATAGAATACACACAATGGAGACAGTGAGGTGCCTGAGAGCTACTGAATACATAGAGTACACACAATGTAGACAGTGAGGTTCCTGAGAGCTCCACTGAATACCTAGAATACACACAATGTAGACGAATACACAAAATGTAGACAGTAAGGTACCGCAGAGCTCCACTGAATACATAGCATATACACAATGTAGACAGTAAGGTTCCTGAGAGCTCCACTGAATACATAGCATACACACAATGTAGACAGTGAGGTGCCTGAGAGCTCCACTGAATACATAGAATACACACAATGTAGACAGTGAGGTACCTGAGAGCTCATATGAATATATAGAATACACACAATTCAGACAGTGAGATACCTGAGAGCTCCACTGAATATACAGGACACAAATATTCCAGGAATACCAGGCATTTTCCCCAAAACGTCCATGACGAAAAGTGGAAACAACTGTTAAAGGAAAGAAAATGTTGGTTTGAATTGCTATAAACAATGTTAAAAAAGTAGGCTAAACGGAATGTGGATTCTGAAAACCATGTCCCCTATCTAAACATCGTCTCCATAAAAATATTTCTTCTTTCAAAACTTGTTATTTTCGATTCCTTACAGTACCATAGACATTAAACGAGAAAAGCGAGCAGAAATATAAATATATGGTTGTGAATTGCTAGTGAGAATATTTTGAGAAAAACATAATAAATGCCAAAAACAAAAAATACTGACGATGGAATTTGTCATTTTGGTTGGGAAATAAAACTGTGTCCGTTGTCTAGCAGAGTTTGTTTATTTTTTATATGAGGCAAACTTTATTGATGAGCTTATTTGGACTGGTGACATTCAGATATATCTAGGATGTTCTGGCTTCAAATAACAGGAATTTATGGACAATTTGAAAATATAAGACACTACAGATTCTTTTTCTTAAGCCTTATAAATATGTCATGCTTATGTAAACAAAACACATTGAAAGCGAACCTGATTGGCCTCACAGTCGACAACATCTCTCTTGGTCAACAGAGGTGCACATACCTGATCGGCCGCGCTAATTAGTCCGAAGGTCTTTGGGTCACAAGTCCTGTAGAAGGCGTAGGTGACCGTACCGATGAAACAGCAGAGGTACAAGATGATACACAGACCGGGGAAGTTAACCCAGTACGCTCTGTAACACGGTAACAAGTTTTTTTTATCGCAATGTATCACGGGGAACATGTTTATATCTCACTGTAACACTGGGAACAAGTTTATATCACACTGTATCACAGAGAACATGTTTATATCTCACTGTAACACAAGGAACATGTTCATATCTCACTGTATCACGGGGACCAAGTTTATATCACACTGTTTCACTGGGAACATGTTTATATATCACTGTATCACGGGGAACAAGTTTATTTGTTACACCTCAAGTGAATTTCTAGCTATTTGATTGGTTGGGAGAAAATTAAACAAAAATCTCTGTCACACTCCGAAAATACATTGGTTTTAAGGGGCGCGGGTGATATTGCCATAAGACAGTGAAAAATATCACATGCGCAAAAAATGTGCGTGCACCGCTTCGTTTCCCCAACGTGATGGTCACAAGAACGTTTGACGGCAACAGCCAATTTCATCAAGCGCCGGTGCGATTGCGATTGTAAACAGCAGACTATCAACAAACAAGATGTCATTATCGAGGTTTGCTGCCGTTTCTGAGCTACATTGACTTTTGGTGTAACAAAATAGATATGACATTCATTAGCAGGTGACAGTGAATATTGTCAACCCTCAAAAACCCATTGTCACCCTCGGCTTCGCCTCGGGTGACGATGGTCTTCTTGAGTTGACAATATTCACTGTCACCTGCTAATGAATGTCATATTTATATAATATCACTGTATCACAGGGAACAAGTTTATATCGCACTGTATCACGGGGAACATGTTTATATATCACTGTATCACGGGGATCAAGTATATATCAGACTGTATCACGGGGATCAAGTTTATACCGCACTGTAACACGAGGAACAAGTTTATAGCACACTGTATCACGGGGAACAAGTTTATATCACACTGTAACACAAGGAACATGTTTATATCACACTGTATCACGGGGAACAAGTTTATACCGCACTGTAACACGAGGAACAAGTTTATACCGCACTGTAACACGAGGAACAAGTTTATAGCACACTGTATCACGGGGAACAAGTTTATACCGCACTGTATCACGGGAAACAATTTTATATCTCACTGTAACACAAGGAACATGTTTATATCTCACTGTATCACGGGGAACAATTTTATATCTCACTGTAACACAAGGAACATGTTTATATCACACTGTATCACGAGGAACAAGTTTATATCACACTGTATCACGGGGAACAATTTTATATCTCACTGTAATACAAGGAACATGTTTATATCACACTGTTTCACAGAGAACAGGTTTATATATCACTATATCACGGGGAACAAGTTTATATCACACCGTATCACTGGGAACAGGGTTATATATCACTGTATCACGGGGAACAAGTATATACCGCACTGTAACACGAGGAACAAGTTTATATCACATTGTATCACGGGGATCAAGTTTATACCGCACTGTATCACGGGGAACATGTTTATATCACACTGTTTCACAGAGAACATGTTTATATCACACTGTATCACGGGGAACAAGTTTATATCACACCGTATCACGGGGAACAATTTTATATCTCACTGTAACACAAAGAACATGTTTATATCACACTGTTTCACAGAGAACATGTTTATATCACACTGTATCACGGGGAACAAGTTTATACCGCACTGTAACACGAGGAACAAGTTTATATCACATTGTATCACGGGGATCAAGTTTATACCGCACTGTATCACGGGGAACATGTTTATATCACTCTATATCACGGGGAACATGTTTATATCACACTGTATTACGGGGAACATGTTTATATCACACTGTATCACGGGGAACATGTTTATTTCACACTGTATCACGTGGAACAAGTATATATCACACCGTATCACGGGGAACAAGTTTATATCACACTGTAACACAAGGAACATGTTTATATCACACTGTATCACGAGGAACAAGTATATATCGCACTGTATCACAAGGAACATGTTTATATCACACTGTTTCACCTAGAACAGGTTTATATCACACCGTATCACTGGGAACAGGTTTATATATCACTGTATCACGGGGAACAAGTATATACCGCACTGTAACACGAGGAACAAGTTTATAGCACACTGTATCACGGGGAACAAGTTTATATCGCACTGTATCACGGGGAACAAGTATATATCACACCGTATCACGGGGAACAAGTTTATATCTCACTGTAACACAAAGAACATGTTTATATCACGCTGTTTCACAGAGAACATGTTTATATCACACTGTATCACGGGGAACATGTTTATTTCACACTGTATCACGGGGAACAAGTATATATCACACCGTATCACTGGGAACAGGTTTGTATATCACTGTATCACGGGGAACAAGTTTATATCACACTGTATCACAGAAAACAAGTTTACTGTATCACGGGAAACAAGTTTATATCACACTGTATCACAGAAAACAAGTTTATATCACACTGTATCACAGGGAACAAGTTTATATCACACTGTATCACGGGGAACAAGTTTATATCGCACTGTATCACGGGGAACAAGTATATATCACACTGTATCACGGGGAACATGTTTATTTCACACTGTATCACGGGGAACAAGTATATATCACACCGTATCACGGGGAACAAGTTTATATCACACTGTATCACAGAAAACAAGTTTATATCACACTGTATCACAGGGAACAAGTTTATATCACACTGTATCACGGGGAACATGTTTATATCGCACTGTATCACGGGGAACATGTTTATATCACACTGTTTCACAGAGAACAAGTTTATATCACACTGTATCACGGGGAACAAGTTTATACCGCACTGTAACACGAGGAACAAGTTTATAGCACACTGTATCACGGGGAACAAGTTTATATCGCACTGTATCACGGGGAACAAGTATATATCACACCGTATCACTGGGAACAGGTTTGTATATCACTGTATCACGGGGAACAAGTTTATATCACACTGTAACACAAGGAACATGTTTATATCACACTGTATCACGAGGAACAAGTATATATCGCACTGCATCACGAGGAACAAGTATATATCGCACTGTATCAAGAGGAACAAGTATATATCGCACTGTATCACAAGGATCATGTTTATATCACACTGTTTCACAGAGAACAGGTTTATATCACACTGTATCACTGGGAACAGGTTTATATATCACTGTATCACGGGAAACACGTTTATATCACACTGTATCACAGAAAACAAGTTTATATCACACTGTATTCACAGAGAACATGTTTATATCACACTGTATCACGGGGAACAAGTTTATATCGCACTGTATCACGGGGAACAAGTATATATCACACCGTATCACTGGGAACAGGTTTGTATATCACTGTGTCACGGGGAACAAGTTTATATCACACTGTATCACAGAAAACAAGATTATATCACACTGTATCACGGGGAACAAGTTTATATCGCACTGTATCACGGGGAACAAGTATATATCACACTGTATCACAGGGAACATGTTTATATCACACTGTATCACGAGGAACAAGTATATATCGCACTGCATCACGAGGAACAAGTATATATCGCACTGTATCACAAGGATCATGTTTATATCACACTGTTTCACAGAGAACAGGTTTATATCACACTGTATCACTGGGAACAGGTTTATATATCACTGTATCACGGGAAACACGTTTATATCACACTGTATCACAGAAAACAAGTTTATATCACACTGTATCACGGGGAACATGTTTATTTCACACTGTATCACGTGGAACAAGTATATATCACACCGTATCACGGGGAACAAGTTTATATCTCACTGTAACACAAAGAACATGTTTATATCACACTGTTTCACAGAGAACAAGTTTATATCACACTGTATCACGGGGAACATGTTTATATCGCACTGTATCACGGGGAACATGTTTATATCACACTGTTTCACAGAGAACAAGTTTATATCACACTGTATCACGGGGAACAAGTTTATATCACACAGTATCACGGGGAACATGTTTATCTCACACTGTATCACGAGGAACAAGTATATATCGCACTGCATCACGAGGAACAAGTATATATCGCACTGTATCACGAGGAACAAGTATATATCGCACTGTATCACAAGGAACATGTTTATATCACACTGTTTCACAGAGAACATGTTTATATCACACTGTATCACGGGGAACAAGTTTATATCACACCGTATCACTGGGAACAGGTTTATATATCACTGTATCACGGGGAACAAGTTTATATCACACTGTATCACAGAAAACAAGTTTATATCACACTGTTTCACAGAGAACATGTTTATATCACACTGTATCACGGGGAACAAGTTTATATCACACCGTATCACTGGGAACAGGTTTATATATCACTGTATCACGGGGAACAAGTTTATATCACACTGTATCACAGAAAACAAGTTTATATCACACTGTTTCACAGAGAACATGTTTATATCACACTGTATCACGGGGAACAAGTTTATATCACACCGTATCACTGGGAACAGGTTTATATATCACTGTATCACGGGGAACAAGTTTATATCACACTGTATCACAGAAAACAAGTTTATATCACACTGTTTCACAGAGAACATGTTTATATCACACTGTATCACGGGGAACAGGTTTATATCACACCGTATCACTGGGAACAGGTTTATATATCACTGTATCACGGGAAACAAGTTTATATCACACTGTATCACAGAAAACAAGTTTATATCACACTGTATCACGGGAAACAAGTTTATATCACACTGTATCACGGGGAACAAGTTTATATCACACTGTATCACGGGGAACAAGTTTATATCACACTGTATCACGGGGAACAAGTTTATATCACACTGTATCACGGGGAACAAGTTTATATCACACTGTATCACGGGGAACAAGTTTATATCACACTGTATCACGGGGAACAAGTTTATATCACACTGTATCACGGGGAACAAGTTTATATCACACTGTATCACGGGGAACAAGTTTATATCACACTGTATCACGGGGAACAAGTTTATATCACACTGTATCACGGGGAACAAGTTTATATCACACTGTATCACGGGGAACAAGTTTATATCACACTGTATCACGGGGAACAAGTTTATATCACACTGTATCACGGGGAACAAGTTTATATCACACTGTATCACGGGGAACAAGTTTATATCACACTGTATCACGGGGAACAAGTTTATATCACACTGTATCACGGGGAACAAGTTTATATCACACTGTATCACGGGGAACAAGTATATATCACACCGTATCACGGGGAACAAGTTTATATCACACTGTATCACGGGGAACAAGTTTATATCACACTGTATCACGGGGAACAAGTATATATCACACCGTATCACGGGGAACAAGTTTATATCACACTGTATCACGGGGAACAAGTTTATATCACACTGTATCACGGGGAACAAGTATATATCACACCGTATCGCGGGGAACAAGTTTATATCACACTGTATCACGGGGAACAAGTTTATATCACACTGTATCACGGGGAACAAGTATATATCACACTGTTTCACGGGGAACAAGTATATACCGCACTGTATCACGGGGAACAAGTTTATATCGCACTGTATCACGGGGAACAAGTATATATCACACCGTATCACGGGGAACAAGTTTATATCACACTGTATCACGGGGAACAAGTTTATATCACACTGTATCACGGGGAACAAGTATATATCACACTGTTTCACGGGGAACAAGTATATACCGCACTGTATCACGGGGAACAAGTTTATATCGCACTGTATCACGGGGAACAAGTATATATCACACCGTATCACGGGGAACAAGTTTATATCACACTGTATCACGGAGAACAAGTTTATATCACACTGTATCACGGAGAACAAGTTTATATCACACTGTATCACGGGGAACAAGTTTATATCGCACTGTAACACGTGAAACAAGTTTATATTGCATTCTAACACGATTCGTTTGCAACGCGTGTTTTGATTGGATACGGATCCGGACCATGTTCTTATCTGCGGTAGAATCATGATCAATCGTGTTAAGCTCCTCCCATCGCACTTAAAAGCCACGCCCCGTTTCTAACCAAAACAATATGGCGTCAAGCTCGCCTCTTAGCGAAATCCCGCTAATAAGGCTAGTAGGCAACAGAACAGAAATGACCGATGAAATGGATTTGTTGAATGCATTAAAAAGTTAAAAGGACAAATTCTTTGTTCTTACTTCCATTTATTTCTGAAACGTTCCGTTACAACCGTGTGAAGGCATCTATTTAGATCCGAAATCAAATGAAACATTTCACATGCGTTTACACAAAACTCTTCACAAATCTATACAAATAATCACCGATTTTGTCGATAAACACAGATTGGTATGCATACTAACATGGAAATGTAAGAACTTGGTCAATATTAATCCAAATGTGTCGTATAAACCTTGGTAACAGGACGTTCACGAACAATCTAAATATTCCGCCTCGTCAACATACAGATCGAGCTCTCGCCAGTATGAGGGGGCGGACAGGGGGGTCACTAGTTCCCGGTTCCCGCCCCCCCTGACTCCCTGTTCCCGCCCCCCAGTATGGGCGGGGCCAAATGACCAACTTTTGAAAGCTTCTTTCCGATTGGTCAGTCCGCTGCAGAATAACACGTCGCCAGTGCAGGTCACAAAGTATTTTACTAGGTACTTTTGTACAAGGAAACACAATGTTTCAAAGTATATTAGCGTAGTATATGTGTTAAGGTGTGTTAGAATGGGGATAGTACGTTGTTTTTCGTGTCTATACTGGCGATTAGAACATGAAACTTGGTTTAAACTCTCGACCTATCGGTCTCGAGTTCAATCCCAAATTGCATGTTCTAATCGCCAGTATAGCCACTCAAAACAACGTACTATCCCCTAACTGTAACACGAGGAACAAGTTGCTATCGCACTGTATCACGAGGAACATCTTCATATCGCAACGTATCACGGGGAACATATTTATATCGTTCTGTAACATGGGGATCAAGTATATTAAATGTTAAATTCTCCCATATATATTATGCACTGGGTGCCAACAACGAATATATGGTTGCAGTTCTACATTTACTTGTAAACTTAAGCAATATCATTTGATTTGATTATACAGATTAATTCAAATATAAATTTTGACACCATTTTATCGTAAAATAAATGCCAAAGTAAATATTGAGTTTAATAATGTGCACTTACATCTGCGCCTTTCTCAAGGTTGGACACGTGATGGCTCTCTGGATCTGCGCTTGGTTCGCTCCATATACCGCCAGCCAGGTTATGGCGCCTCCAAACACACACGACCAAACACTGTGACGCACGATAGGGTCTGCGTTGAAACTGAAATAATAAGCACCCCAATACGATTAGTACATACGTATTTAGGAAAATGATAATAAAGCAATACATTGACTTATCATTATGCAATACAAGTAAGGAAGACGTGAAATGCCTCTCATTCAAGCTGCTACGACCACTACAGTGACCAGCGTTCCTGTCACTATGGCCTACATTATTTTTCAGGATATTGTTGTTATTTTGAAATCTGAGGTCACCCATAACAATTATAATTGTTACACACCTAACCAGCTGTACGACACACCTATTACAATTATAATTGTTACACAACTAACCAGCTGTATGACACACCCATTACAATTATAGTTGTTACAC